CTCTTTATTCATAGTGGAGGACAAACAAGAAAGAAGGTGGGGTAACTCGTGCTATGTGGCCTATGTGGCCTAGGCGAACGCAGCATTGATTGTTTCAAGAAGCGGCCTGGGAGGAAGGGAACAGGGAAGGATACAATGTAACTGTCTCCCAGATCGTGGCATCCAGGGTCTAATCTATGGAGGAGAAAGGGAGCAAGGAAGAGAAAGGGAGGAGGTAAGAGACGAAGGGCCATTTCAGGCTTGGCCAGGGGCACCATCTTCCAGAAGCACTCTTTTTTTTTTTTTGTACCTGGGATCAACCTCGGGACCTCACATTTGTGAGCAGGCGGCAGCATCACTGAGCTAAATCCCCAGCCCTGTTCTATATCATTTTTATATATATATAGTTGTTGTTGTTGTTGTTTGTTTGTTTTGTTTTTGTACCTGGGATCAACCTCAGGACCTCACATTTGTGAGCAGGCGGCAGCATCACTGAGCTAAATCCCCAGCCCTGTTCTATATCATTTTTATGTCAATTAGTAAAACAAGTGGCAAATAGCTTCCCGTAAGATAATTTGTCTTATTTTTTCATGATTTTTGTTATAGAAAGTTTTTCTTTGTTATGTGGTTTGTTTGCTTTGGTAATATAGGTACTTAAACGTTTTCTTTCGTTTTTTTCCTGAATTTTTGAGTCATAGTAGAAAAGCTTTCACCACTCCAAGGTTATAAGTAAATCCACTTTGCTTTTTTTGGAAATTGTATAGTTTTTAAGATTTCTGATCCATTTAAAATTTATTTTGATGTGTAGTACATGGTATACATTTATTTTATCAATGGCTTTCTGGTTGTTCTAACATCATTTATTAAAAACTATCTTTTTCCAAATAATTTATGTTCCCATGGTAAACTTTATCACACACTAAAGTTCCTTAATTGTTTGAATCTATCTCAACACTCTTTTTTTTTCTGTTCTGTTGGCTAATTGTCTTTAGAATTACATTGTTTCATATATACGATTACTATTTGGTACAACATTCTCCTGTATGGGTTGATATTAATTTCTAGAGGCTTAGGGGGGTTTCTCATTTCTATATGAACTTTAGAAAAAGCTTTTTGAAATCTTGAACAAAATCTTTTTGGTATTTTTATTGGTTTTCTATTAACTTCATAAATTAACATGAAAGGAATTTCTGTCATTGTGACGTTAAGTCCTTTAGTTCAAGAATATGGCATGCGTTTTCATTTTTAAGTCCAAGGTTGTGTCTTTCAGAAATATTTAATATTTTTTCTCATAAGATTAATTTCCTCCTTGGCATTTACATTTCTGTTGTTGCTCTTATAAATGGGATCTTCCTTTTTCCCTATCTTCAGATTGATTTTTGTATTTATAAAGATAGTTGATCTTTTGTTAATTTTATATTCTTATCTTAGTTAATTGTCTCAGTTCACAGTTGCTAATTCATTGACTCTCATGAGTTTTTAAAGTATCATATGAAATCGAGATTGTTTTACATGTTTTTCTTCCAGTTTTTATAGATCTAATAGTTTTTGTTCTGTAAACTTGTAGCTATTGCCCCCAATGTATCATTAAAAAGAAATATAGTGAACAATGTCATGCCTTGTCCCTAATATTTGAGTAAAAATCATTAGTGTTTCCTATTCATTCAAATGTAGGCATATAGCTTGAGTTTTAGGTGGTTTATAATTTTAAGGATATTGCCATTTATTACAACAGGTACACAAATTTGCAAAATGCTTTTTCAACATCTCTGGAAAGGAGTGCACCATTTCTTATTTGTGTAGTATTTTACAGTTGAAGTTGCTAACACAGAACCATTCTTAAATACCAAAAGAAGTCACATTTAAACATGACATATTTCATTCTGCTGCATGCTATTGGGGTTCTCCTATCTAATGTTAATTTGAGATTTCCAATACTTGTTAGAAAGATTGGTATGTAATTTTTGCAGATATATATGGCCTTTCCCTAGTTAGGATCAATGTGATAATTATTTCAAAAACAGAATTTCTTCTTGATTTTCTATGCTAATTTTTCTATTCTATTTTTCTATTTTCTATGTTATGTTTTTATTCATTAAGTTTATTGGTACAACGTAGGTATGCAATGTAATAAGATTCATTACTGGGAATTTGTACCTTTACATACTGTTTGTGGGAGTATAGACTGGTGCAACCACTGTGGAAATCAGTATGGATTAGAGGTCCCATTTGACCCAGCTATTCCCCTGCTGGGTATCTTCCCCCCAAAATTAAAAGAATCACATGACAGCATATGTGTCTACCCATTTTTGTAGTAGCAAAGTTTGTAATAGCTAAAACTTGGAAACAGCCTGATTGCTCATCAACTGGTGACTGGATAAAGAAGATTTTTTCTTTTATAAAATGGAGTATTACCCATAAAGAATGAGAAATTAGAGACATTTATAACTAAATGGATACACATGGAGGCTATATTCTTAAGTGAAATAAATAGGACACACATGTAAATACCAAATGATTTCTCTGGTGTGAGAAACTGAAAGTGTAAATAAGGATCAAAATATATGATAGATAATGTGAAATAGGAAGAAAATGTCCAAAGAGGAAGGGAAGGGGGAAGGGGAGGGGAAAACAAAGAAGGGAAAGGAATAAATATAAGAAAAGAAAATAACGGCAACAAAGTCTTTGTAAATAGGGAGGGGTGGAGGGGTTGAAAGGAGGGCAGGGGAATGGGGAAAACATGCGGAGGATTATTTAAGTAGCTTAATAATTATCTAGACTTTAAAATTTTATTTTGACTGCTCTGTGAAATTTTCCAGGGTTAGTGGATTTTTTAATTTTTATTTTATTGGTACATTTTAGGTATACAATATAATTACATTCATCATTGGAAATTTGCATCTTTATATAATCTCTCTTGGTTCCTATTTTTACCCCTTCCCCTGCCCTCCCTTCAACCCCTCCATCCCTCCTTATTTACAAAGACTTTGTTTCCATTTTTACATTTTCTCATATTAATTGCATTCCCTTCTTTCTTTTCCCCTACTCCTCCAACTTCCCCTTCCCCTTTGCCCCTTTTCTTCCTATCTCACATTATCTATTATACCTTTCAGTCCTTATTTACACTTTCAGTTTCTCACACTAGAGAAACCTTTTGGTATTTACACGTGTGTCCTATTTATTTCACTTAAGAGTATCACCTCAATATGCACCCATTTAGCTATAAATGTCTGTAATTTCTCATTTTTTATGGCTGAGTAGTTAGTGTTTATTTGTGAAGTAGCTCTCTGACAAATTTCTTTTTCTAGTTTTCTATTCCAATTAACAATCTTAACATACTATTTTTGTTACGTTTGATTTTCCTAGAATTATTTCATGTAGATTTGTAAAATCTGTTTTAATAGAATTTTCCAAAGTAGTCTTTATAGTAATTTTAAGATTTCCTCTGTTCCAAATCTTCAATTGCTCATGAACTAGCACAAACAATCAACAAGTGGAATCTCTTCTTACTAAAAAGCTTCTGTACAGCAAGCGAAACCAACAACAGTGTGAAGAGACAACCTACAATCTGGGAAAAAATTTTCACCAGCTATCTCTCAGACAAAGATCTACTATCTAGAATCTATAAAGAACTTAAACAAAATCAGACCTCCAAAATTTAAAGACCCAGTCCAAAAACTGGCATCTGAAATGAACAGACATTTCTCAAAGAAGTAGAAATAGCTAATAAACATATGAAAAAATGTTCAACATCACTGGTCATTCGAGAGATGCAAATGAAAACAACACTGAGATTCCACCTCACCCCAGAAAGAATGGCTGCTATCATGAAATCAACCAATAACAAATGCTGGAGGGGCTGTGGGGAAAGAGGAACCCTACTCCACTGCTGGTGGGAGTGTAGACTGGTGCAACCACTGTGGAAATCAGTATGGAGATACCCCAAAGATCTAGGTCTGGAAGTCCCATTTGACCCTGCTATTCCCCTGCTGGGTATCTTCCCAAAAGAATTTTAAAAATCATACCACAGTAGTATATATTCACCCATGTTCACAGCAGCACAATTTGTAATAGCTAAAACTTGGAAGCAGCCCAAGTGCCCATC